TGTCACTCACCAGACTCTGATCCTTGGAGATTCTGGAGCTGCTGGTGCCTGTGAGTGAAGAAGAAAAAGTAGTTTAAAACATTTGTGGGGGGAAAAAAAAATCCATCCTAATTAAACCACAGGAAAAAGAGGGGACAGGCAAGAGAATCCACCTCAAATCCCTGTCAGGAAATCCACTCAAACACGGCTTTTCCTCATTCATCTTTTTTAATGTGAGGCAGTGTTTGACGGGGACAACAGTCAGGGACGTTGGGAAAGGGTGAAATCCCAATTTCGGATTACAGGAATCATGGAACGTTAACAGGACATGGCAGATGCTCCTCATGAGCAAAGAGCAGCCCCTTATCCCATTTCCCCTCCTGTCCTGGGCACACTGGGATTTACTGAACTGTGCTTCCAGCCCGAGTCCACGCTCATGACGTCGTCGTCCTCCTCGTCCGGGATCTCGATCACTTCCGTGGCCACCGGGGCCTCGTCCTCGGAGCTGCTCTCCCGGTACTGGAGGCCCATCATGGAGTACAACTCCTTGGCCAACGTCTCACACTTGTCGATGGCTCTGGAAGAGAGGGAGGGAATCCGGCTGTACATCCTGGAATACCACAGGGATGACCAGGAACGGGCAGCTGGGCAGCTGCCAATTACACTTGAGGGAAGCATCCACACTAAGGATTTAAAGCCTTGAGGAGCTGCCACTGTTCCTCATTAACCACATGCAAACTAAGAGACCTCAATCTGCTTTAAAGGGAATGAGAACACCCCCCACAGCCCCCTCCTCGGAATTCCGGCCCATTCCAGGTCCACCCACCTCGTGGCATTGTCAATGAGCTGGTCAACGTGAGCCGCCTCCTCCTCCTTGTGCCTCACACACTTCTCCAGCTCCTCCAGCTGCTGCTTTCGCTGCCTCACCCACTCGGAGTTCTCCACCTCCTTGTCGATGATCTCCTGCAGCTCCTCCAGGGAGATTCCCAGCTCCTCCACCACCTCCTGCTGCAGCTCTTCGATGTTCTGGGTATCCATCTCTGCTGCCCTCAGAGCGGAACAGGTGAGGGAGATCAGGGGAGGGGAGGCAGGTGAGGGAGAGGGAGGGCAGGCACAGCCCCCCCATCCCAACGTCCCTCAACCGCTGCCCCTGTCCCCTCACAGTCCTTCCCCACCCCACCTCCCCCCCCATCCCCTCAGAGCCCCCCCCCGCTCCTCTCATGAGTCCCCGATCCCCCCCTCGGTCCCCACAGTCCCCTCGATCCCCTCATGAGCCTCCCGGTCCCCTCAGAGCCCTCCGATCCCTCCCAGCCCCACGATCCACCCCCCCGACCCCCTCAGAACCCCCCCGTCCCTTCAGAGTCTCCCAACCCCTCCCCGGTTCCCTGAGAGTCCCCCGGGCTCCTCAGAATCTCCCGATCCCTCGTGGTTCCCTCAAAGTTGCCGCATTCCCCCCGGTCCCCTCAGAGTCCCCCGGTGCCGCCCCGTCCCCTCAGAGCCCCCCGGTCCCCTCAGAGTCTTCCGGTCCCCTCAGAGTCTTCCGATCCCCTCCGGTCCCCTCAGAGCCCCCCGGTCCCCTCAGACTCTCCCGATCCCCTCCGGTCCCCTCAGAACTCTCCATTCCCCCCGAGCCTTCCGCCCCCCGCCAGTCGCCGCCGGTCCCCTCCTTTCCCCGCCGTCCCCCCAGAGCCCCGTTTCCCCTCAGAGCCCCCCGTTCCCCCTGTTCTCCCCTCACTCACCGCCGGTCCCGGGCAGCCGGGGCGGGCCGAGGGGGCTCCGGACGGAACCCGCCTGTCGTCACCTCCGCCGCCCGCGGCCCGCGGTGCTGCCGCCTGGCGAGGGCGGCCGGGATAAACCTGGGATAAACCGGGAATAAGGTGGGAATAAACCGGGAATAAAGTGGGAATAAACCGGGGGTGAAGCCCGAAACACCGGGGCCTTATCGCGGCCAGACCGCGTGGCGGAGGGGAGTGCCCCTATTTATTGGCCAAGACTTACAGATCCCCTCACAGGGTGGGACTTCAGGCGCCCACGGAGATCCCGACTTGTTACTTTAGGCGGCCCCGGAGCCCCTAAACTGCGTTGGGCCCCCTTGACTTGCTACTCTAGGCGGCCCCAAAGCCCAACTTGTTACTTTGGGCGGCCAAAGAGCCCCCAAACTGGGTTGGGGCTCCTTAGCCTGGTACTTGAGGCCACCCCAGAGCCCCTGAGCTGGGCTGGGCAGCCCCGGCTCGTTACTGAACTGTCAGCGTCCCACCGGCTGTTCCAGAACGTTCTGTGAACCGCCACCTCTCTGGGATTTGCAGCACGATGGGGGGCCCTGGGGGGCCCAGAGGGGAGGGGGGGGCCCAGCAAGATGGGGGGGTGATGGGGGCACTGGTGGCTCTGAAGTGGAGGGGTCTGGGGGTTCCTGGGGAGCTCTGAGGGTCCTGGGTGACCTTGGGATGCCAAGGGGTCCTGTGGGGCTGAGGGTTGTTGGAGCACCATGTGGGGAGGGGGTGCTGTGGGGTTTGGGGGTGCCAGGGGGTTTGGGGGGTCAGTTGATGGGCTCCCTCTTCCAAGTGGGGATGGGGATGGGTTTGAGGGTCCTGGAGGGGGGGTCAGTTGATAGGTTCCCCCTTCCGGGTGGAGGTGGGGATGGGTTTGAGGGTCCCAGGGGGTTGGGGGGGGTCATTTGATGGGCTTCTCCTCTCAGGTAGAGGTGGAGATGGGTTTGGGAGTCCCAGGGGGTTTGGGGGGGTCAGTTGATGGGCTCCCCCTTCCAGGTGGAGGTGGGGATGGGGTTGGGGGCCCTAGAGGGGATCAGTTGATGGGCTCCTCCTCCCAAGTGGGGCTGGGGATGGGTTTGGGGGTCCTGGGAGGGGGTCAGTTGATGGGCTCCTCCTCCCAAGTGGAGGTGGGGATGGCACTGTAGGGATCCACCACGAGCCGGGCACAGCGCACGGTCATGGCGAGGAGGAAGAGCCCCAGGAGCACCACGAAGACCGTGGCTATGCCCTTGTCCACGTCCAGGGCGGGTGGCACCGGGGGGCTCTCCATGCAGGGATCCTCAGGTGGGGGTGTCCTGGCTGGAAGGGACCCCCAGGTGTGTCCCAGGAACCCTCAGGTGTGTCCCAGGAATCTGGATAAATAAATATGGATGTCTGTTTAAATATTTATTAAAACTGGTGTTGATATAATAATTTAATATTATAATATTCAGTATTATTTAATATTTATATAATTACTATATTATAAATCAGTGTATTCTACATATTATTATATATAATGTATTCTAGTATATCACACATATTTTAATACTTTATAATATAATACAATGCAATCATATATTCTAAGATATTACATATATTATTACTAATGCATTATTTGGTATTATAATTTAATTTTACAATAAGTCAAGAATTAAAATATTTATCATAAATATTTGTTTTTATTTAAATACATATGTTTACTTAAATAAATACAGATAAATTAAATACATTTAATTTATTAACATGTTTGTGAAGCCAAAACATGTGCCAGGAGCAGCCCTGGGTGCACCAAGGATGGCAAACAGATCCACAGGCCTAAATTATGGAATTGTGGAATTGCTAAAGTGGGAAAAGACCTTCTCTAATCATCCAGCCCAGAACTGCTGGAAAAGCCCACTCTTTCCACGGAGGAATTTTCTCAAATATCCAACCTAAACCTCACCTGGAGCAACTAGAGAGCTTTTCCTCTCATCCTGTTATTCCCTGGGAGCAGATCCTGAGCCCACCTGGCCCCAACCTCTTTCCAGGGGGTCGCAGGGAGGGGGAAGCCCCTGGATCCGACCCCCATCCCACGGAACAGCTCCGTCCTTACCTCCCCAGGGTCCCTGTCCCAGCCCCTCCGGCTCCGGGATGGCTCCAGAGCCTCATGAATTCTGCAGGAATGCGCCGGCATCACCTTTCAGACGCTCCCAGTCCCCGGGAGACACGACCAGAGGATTGAATTCCCACCCCACACTCACTTCTCCCATCGGGACAAGGCTCCAGGGTCCATTTCAGGTCTTCCTTGGGGCATGGGGGGGTTTGGGAAGTGCTGAGGAGGATTTATCCCAAAATACAGCAAGAACCAGGTCTTCCCAGGCTGGCAGAGGATTTTGAGCTGGTTCTTGTCTTACTTTGGAATAAACTGGGAAAAACTCTTGGAAAATGCATTGAACTGAGCTGCCTGTTTGGTTCTTGCAAAACAGTCTCGTGACAAGACCCAAAACACCCAAATTACCCAAAATTTCCCTTGAGTTTCTCTGGTTTCCCCCCCAAGAGGAAAAATGGTCACTTTGGGAAGACGGTGACACTTTGTTGCCCCATGAGTGTTCCCGAGTTGGGTGAGGGGTCTTTCCAGAGATTTTTCAGCAAAGGATGAGTATTGGGGTCCTGTTGATGCCCCCCAAATTCCAGTCCCTGACCCAAAATCCTGCTCCACTCCCAATCCCAGTTCCAATCGAAACTCCATGTCGTCTGAATCCTCACTCCCTGCCCCACCCCATTCCCAGTCCCAATTCCCACCCCAACCTAATTCCAATCTAAACCCCAAACTCCAGTCTCAATTCCAACCTTAATCCCCATCCCAAACCAAACCCTAACTCCAGTTCCCACCACACCCTAATCCCAGTCTAAACACTAATTCTCACGCCAGTCCCAACCCCATTCCCCATCCCAATCCCAGGCCCAACTCTAATTCCAGTCCCAATCCCAATCCCAGTCCCCGTCACGTGACGTCACCGAAACAACCCCGCCCCTCACAGTGACCGCGCCCCAAAGGACCCGCCCCCCATTAAACCACGCCCCTTTGGGGCGGGATCTTGTCTTGCTCGCCCCGCCCCGCTGCCCGCGCCGTCGCGTTCGCCCCGTACCCAGCCCGACCTTCAGACCAATAGCAGCGCCGCGTCCCTCCTTCGCCCCGCCCCCCACCCACTGGATGGACCAATAGGAGCGCAGCGCGGCGCCGGCCCCGCCCCCGGGGCGGTGGGGCTGCGCGGCCGGCGGAGGTTTTCCTGCGCCGCCATCTTGGTTCGGCGGAGCGGAGTGAGGAGGGGGCGGTCCGCGACCCCCGCCATGGCCGCCACCGCCGCCGGCGCCGGTGAGCACGGCCGGGGAGACCGCGGGGGCCATGAGCGGCCGGGGGGGCCTGAGGGGCGAGGGGGAGATGAGGGGGGGCTGATGGGGTGCTTGGGGGGCTGAGGGGGGGCCATGGAGGTCTGAGGGGCGAGGGGAAGCTGAGGGGTTGCGTGGGGGTCTCAGGGGGTCTCAAGGGTTGCGTGGGGCTCTCAGGGGGTCTGAGGGGTGAGAGGGAGGTGAGGAGGGCTCTGAGGGGCATCTGAGGAAGTGCGTGGGGGTCTCAGGGGGTCTCACGGGGTGCGCGGGGGTCTCGGGGTGTCTGAGGAGTGAGAAGGGGCTGTGAGGGGCAACTGAGGGGGTGCATGGGGGTCTCAGGAGATGAGTGGGGGGTCTGAGGGGGTGTAAGGGGCGAGAGGGAGGTGAGGGGGGGCTCTGAGGGGCGAGGGGCAACTGAGGGGGTGCGTGGGGGTCTCGGGGGGTCTGAGGGGTGAGAGGTGGCTCTCAGGGGGTGCGTGGGGGTCTCAGGGGGTCTGAGAAGGCCCTGGAACCCTGAGGGGGTGAGGGGGATCCTGAGGGGCTGGGGACGGGGGGGGGTCCTGAGGGGACCCTAAGAAGGACCGTCGGGTGTTGCTGGAGGGCTGGAGGACCCTGGGGAGGGGCGTGGGGGGCCCAGAGAGGGGCCTGAGGCAGCTTTTGGAGGGCTGAGGGATTTGGGGCCCCTGAAGTTCCCTGGATTTGGGGGCCCTGGAGCTGGAGGTCCCTGGATTTGGGATCCCCAGATTTGAGGCTGATCCCCGGATCAATTCTCGGGTTCATCCCCATAACTCCCAGTGTGCAGGAAGCTGCTGATGTCTGATTTTTGTCAAATAAAGCCCAGAATGTGTGATTTTATCACCTTTTTGGCTAAATCGTTCCGAAATAGGTTTGTGTCCAGGATGGTGCAGTTTCTTGTACTGGATTTACAACGTGGTGGCCGAGATCAGAATTTGAGTTTATTTGTGTTTTCTGGGGTTTTTGATCTTCTCTCTTAGTGCTTTGTGGCTCATGGGACACGCTCAGGTTTGTCCAGGGGTGTTCCATGACCCTGCTGAATGATTATGGGGTTTTATTTTAACATTATAAAGAGTTTTTGTGGCTTTAAACGTTGAGAAAACACGTTGGGTCACTCGTGTGTGAGGATTCTGAGAATCCAGGGAGGGAGGAAGAGGCTTGTGGCTTTGAACTGTGTTTCCAGGCATTTGTGGAAGTGGTGCTTTCAGAGTTTCGTGATTTCTTGCGTAATAAAAAAGTTTTAAACAAATTCTCAAGGAAAACAGAAAGAACTTTCAACATCTGCCTTTAATATTTATAACCATGGGCAGAGCGACCAGAGTTTGCTCAACCCTTTTACACACTAAACATGGGGATTATTAGGAAAATAAACTCTGAAGGAGAATTCTCACAAATAATCTGGGTTTTCTTTCCCATGATGTTAAAAACCAGACTTCAGGGCTCCAGTAAATGCTGGATAATGCCCCAAAATGCCCGGAATGTCTCCCCAGCCCAGCTGGGCTGCGGTGAAAGATGGGAAAAGGAACCACAAAAAGAAGTTGGAAGTTATTTGGGTGCTCAAAAAGTTATTGGAAAAATAACTTGGGACTTATTTATGTGCTCAAAGTTGTTGGAAAAGGCAGTTTAATGGTCTTTTTGAACTAAAGGAGTTGTAAAGAGTGGGGGGTTTAAAGCTTTTGGTTTTGTCAATTTGATCAAGTTTTTTGGTGTTTAAATCTCCTGATTGGGAGTGAAAAGCAAAGAGCCTCCACTGACAGGGGAAGGCATCAAAAATACAACTACTTGCCTTACTTGCTTTATTTTACAGGTTTTAATATTAATTTGCATTATTAGGAGATGTTTAGTGCTGGCTGGGTGAATACAGGAACATTTGGTTTTACAAAAGCTCGATTTCAGCCACTCAGCAATGGGAGAAACATTCTTTCCCAGGTTTTTTACCTAATTTCTGTATTTCTTCTCGGAGGAGGTTCCCCTGGGGATGAAAGCGCTGAGCTGGCCTCGCCTGGGAAGCTCAAACAACCCAAAAAACCTCCTACTTCCTTAAAAAAACCCATTTAATGTACCCCAGACACAGAAATTGAGATGTTTTGTAAGCAAAAAGCCATAAAAGCAGAAATATCAGAGCCTTGTAGTTGTGAGTGAAATGCAGAGTAGTTTTAATGTGCTTTATCTGCTCCCAGACCTGCTCCTGACTCTTTGGGGAGCTCACAAATGGTTGAATTTAAAGCAAATCTTGTTGTGTGTGTCCCTCCCCCCAGGCCTCTGCAGCAAAAGGCCCCAGTTTTGGTGTGTTTTGTACAATAAAAATGCATTTCCAAGCTGCTGCAGCCCCTCTGGTAAATCCCAGCTGGAAGGATTTGCTGTAAATTAATTTTGGAGGGGTTTTTTTCCCCTGTGGAGATTCCAGTGGTTGCAGCAGAGCCTTTCCCAGGAGAGCTGGGCCAGGAGCCTGGAGCGACATCGAGGGGGTTTGGGATTTACAAACGTTTCCCTTCTGGCCTTAATTAGATTGAACACGTGGGGAAGGGAAACAGGGCTTGGTTCTGGGAAGGGCTGGGACAGACACCCCACGAGGATGTTGGAAAAAAACCCACCTGGGGCTTCCTGGGACTCTCAGCGCTGATTGTTCCCAAGGAATGTGTCCTTTTGGACACCTCCAGGAATGGTGGCTCCACCTTTTCCATTCCAGTGCCTGACCACCCTTTCCAGGAAGGAATTTTCCCTGATTTCCAACCTGACCCTCCCCAGGTACAACTTGAGGCCCCATTTCCTCTCATCCTGTTGTTCCCTGGGAGAAGATCCCGACCCCCACCTGGCTCCACCCTCTTCCAGGGAGTTGTGAGGAGTGAGAAACTCCACCAGCTGCTCCAGGAATTCCCACTGAGCTCATTGGGACAGAACTGGTGTTGGAATTGGGGGAGAAAACAAGGCTTTGGGAGGAATCTCGGTGTTTCTGTGCAGATCCTGGGAATTCCAAAGGGTGAAAAAGCCAGAGCTCTTCCCGTGCCATCTCCCTGCCCGTGTTCTCCCAGGTTTTTGGGGGGATGGAGCCACACTGATGGCAAAACAGGGTCAGTTCCTGCTGCCAAATCTCAGGGTCTTTCCCAGTTTTCCACTTGTGCCTGAGAGGGGAATGTCTCCCAGTGGGAAGCTGAAGCCCGAGGTGAAGTGGGTTCCTCTGGAATGCTGATCCAGGCACTGGGCTCCTTGGAAGTGCCAAAGGCTCTAAAAGCAAACAGCAATTCCTTGGGAGTTGGGATCAGAGGAACAACCCGATGTCACTTCCTTCCCCTGCCCAGGGCGGAAATTCCTTCCCCTCCATAAAGGGATTTTCCGCCCCGCTCCAGGAGCTCCATTTGTGTTCCCACAGGGCTGAGGAAAAGAACCCTCCTGACCTGCTTTATTCCCACTTGAAACTCTGTTTGGTTAAACAAAATCCTGGGATATCACCTTGGCACTTCACTTGGGAATACGGGATGGGGCACAGGGGTGTCCAAGCAACCCAAAATCGAGCACAGAGGAGACAGGGAAGGGTTTTCACCCCTGGTTCTTTGTTCTCCAGTTGTATTTAGGAATTCCAGCGGATCCTGTTGCCAGAGTTGGTGTTGGATGGGATGTGCTGGCTCCTGCTGTTCGTTGGGATTGTTGTTGTTGGCTCCTCCAGCTGCCAAGTGTTGAGCTGGATGCTTATCCCATAGCGTAGCCACCCCTGGGAAATCCTATGGATTGGCAAGGAAAAAACTCCTTCATCAAACCAGCTGCTTGGAGGGAAACAAACGGGGCTGGCGGAGGGGCTGGGAATGGGAATGGGGGAAAATGCAGCTGATTTGGGAATGGGAATGGGGGAAAATGCAGCTGATTTGGGAAGAAACAGCAGAAATCTGGGAGTGTGTTTGCTGCAGCCACGCTTGTACTGCTGCACTTCCAGCTGCAAATCATCCCGCTCTGGAAGCGAAATTAAACCCGTGTCGGGCTCAAATCTGGCTTTGGGAGCTGGAGAAAAACTTGGGAAAGTCAGCTTAAACCCCCAGTCTTTTCCTGAGTTCTTTAAACCCGACTTCAGTTGTTCAGTTTGTCCCCCCAGCTGTGGCTGTTTCCTGCCCGAGCTGCTCTGAGTGCTGCTCGCTGTGGTTTGGGAGCCCAGCACTGGGGTTTTTGGGGGTGTCGGGGTGGGTTTGGGAGCCCAGCACTGGGGTTTTTGGGGGTGTCGGGGTGGGTTTGGGGCCTCTCGTTGGTAAAACACAAGTGGTTTTGCTTCAGGCTCCGTTTGAAAGGTTGTGGTGGAGATTTTTGGGCTGAAGTGACCGTTTCGGGGCAGTTCAGCAGCAGATTCACGACCATTAAAACCAGCATAGAGCTGACTTATTTCAGAAACGGGGGAAAGTGGTTTATAGTGGATTTAAAAACTCCTTCTGTGGTGCAGAATAATCTGATTTAGTGCAGGGGGACGTGGGTTGCAGCTCTTGTGATGTGGTTTCAGCATAAGCCAGGCTGAGAAACGGCTCCAGAGCCCGTGATCCGTTCAGGATCTGTGATCCTGAACAATCAGGGTTAGGGAGAAAGAGAGGAAAATGAAATCATGGAACCTCAGGCTGGTCTGGGGTGGAAGGGACCTTAGAGATCCCCTGGACCACGGCTGGGACACCTCCCACCAATCCAGGTGCTCCCAGCAGCTGTGGAAGGGCACAGGCAGGCGGGTGATGGTGCCACTGGTGCCCACTGGTCTGTACTGGTGTGGCCCAGAAGGGATCAGCTGAACCAGGACGGGTTTGAGGCACTTTAGGAGCGTTTTGGGTAATTCTTTGTCTGGAATTGGAAAATAAACCCTCTGTAGGTTGGTGTCGGGAGGGAAACTCGCAGCTCAGCTCCTCCCCTCCTTCGTGCTCGTGGATGAGAACAGGGCTCCCATCAGGCTCCTCCTCTCTCCAAAAAAGATTCCACATCTTTTAGCTTGGCAGCCTCAGCGTTCCAGCCCAGGGAAGCAGCTCCAGCCCAGGGAAGCAGCTCCAGCCCAGGGAAGCAGCTCCAGCCCAGGGAAGCAGCTCCAGCCCAGGGAAGCAGC